TGAGTGGTAGTTTAAAATATCTGGTGCTTTAAAAATAAAGAATAGTGTAAATGAATGCTCTGCTTTTTTAAGTAATCCATTTACGAGACCATGCATTTATTCTAGCGAATAATCTTTGGAATTTGTCTTTTGGAACTGCTTTCAGAACCAGTAGAGCCATATAAGAAAACTAATCTCATTACTTGATGGTCATATCCTTAGTCCCCCAAAGAGTATTATCTTGCTTAATCACTCATCTTATTTACCATACTTGTTTATAAGTGATATTTAACAGTTTCTAAAAATTAATCTTCAGAGGCATAAAATTTATTACCATGGTAGATATTTAATGACTATCATGATTGCTGAGGACAATCTTAAAATTAAGTCTTTAGATGTGGTACATCCTCAGAATAAGGTCTGATTAAGAGAGAGTGGGTTCTAGAAAGCCTGGGTTTGAATGCTCTTTTTAGTACATTAGTTATGTGTCTTGAGAAAGTTATTTAACTTGTCTGGTTCTCAAGTTTTCCTCATTTTTAAAGTGGAGGTAGTGATAATACTCCCTACATAAACGATTGTCGTGAGGATTAGCTCATAGACTTAGGACAATGCCTGGCAAATATTAAGAGCTCAATAAATATTAGCTATTAATTACATCACAACAACTACTATTATTGCTACTATTACCACTTTGTCTATTTTGTTTGTTTTAAAAATCACTTGTTCCTGTTTAATAATATCTCATACAAGTGAAATGATAGGCAGTTGGAGATAAAATTAGAGCTCAAATAAAAGATCAAACATACAGAGATGTGGTTTTTTAGAGTGTTTGACCTAGAACTTAGTTAGAGGAGAGCAGAAAAGACCAACGATGGAATATTGGGGAACTACTAGAAAAGGAGCTGGCAAAAGAACTAGGGATAATTTAGAGAAAGAAAGAAAACCAGGAATGTATATTAGTATAGAGATTATAATAGGTTTAGATTTGATTGCAACAAAATAATAGACTTAAACATGATAGAAGTTTATTTTTCTAGATGTCAGGAATTCCAGTAGTAGTCTAGGATTGATATGGTTTATTATGGTGTCATGTTGTTGCTTCACTGTGCATTGGTTCTATATTTTTTGAAAATCTCCTTGTGGTCTAAGATAGCTATTGGAGTTCCAGCCATTTCATCCACATTCCAATCAGCAGAGAGGAGGAAGAGAAATATCTCTGTTTCTTTAAGCATCCTTCCTGAAAAATATATACTGTATCACTTTTTGCTCATATTCCTTTGGTGAAACGTAGTCATATAGCCAGCCACACTTTCCTGCTGGAGAGGTTGGGACATGTAAACTATTTTAAATGATTAATGTCTGGGAATAAAGAACAGGAATAATGAGGATAATTCAAAGATAGCTAGATGAAGAACATAGAGTAGATAACTGAGTTGTCTTCAGGACAGTTTAATTCATTATTGGTAATCCTTGATAGTTTCTATACTCATGAAACTATGAGTATAAAACTACTCTTGACAAATTACGTCAACAGTACTTCGTTTTTAGGATGTAATCCCTTGATGAATCCTTACTTAATTAGTATTATCAATCTCATAAAGAAAACAAGTTGTGTGTGTGTATGTGTGTGTGTGTGTGTGTGTGTGTGTCTCCTCATTTAACATATGTTGGCCAAAATTCATATGCCAACATAGTGTGGTGAAATTAATGGTAAATAAGCCTCCAATATCTCTATTTTGTTGTTTTAAGCCTATAATTTTACCTAGCCTTCCATTCACTCTCCAATTTGGTTGTTTTGGGCCAATGTTTTTAATTCATCTCTGTTCTTTTATATTACTACTTTTTCTCACTGCTGTTAATCATAGTTCCCAAAATAAATAAGCAAATTTAATTAAATGTGTTATTTGTACTCTCCTGGTCATTAATGAATTTGTAAGTAAGGTCAGACCTTACTTACTTACAATCTTCGTGGTATTACAATTACTGAATTCTCTCCACATCCTTGGTAGTTATTTGCTTAACATTTTTTTAAAATTATTTTGAAAGCTTCTGTTTTTTTATGTTTATGTTCTTTCAGTATCAGAAATATAAAGGTCTTTTAACAATTGAAATGTTTTATTTTTGTAGTTTTGAATGATGAATAATATATTTAAGATCGTATGTTGCTACTTATATTTTATCAACAAATGTAGTTTAATATAGACACAGTTTAAAAATTCAAATAGGAAAAAAAGTTTATAATGAAATATAGTTCTCCATTCACTTCTCTCTTGTGTTGAATATCCTGTTTTCCATGTCCCATGTCTTTTGATTTATTTTCTCATTTGGTGTCAAGGATGATGAGGCCATCACTCACTATCCAGAATATCTGACCAGGCACAATCTCCCTGAACAAAGCAGATTGTTAATTTTACACAGCGTTTTGGGGGAACATGGAGTTCAGGGATTAGAAGATTTTAAGGAACAGAAGTGTATTAACATCTGTAGATGCATGATTGCTCTGTTGACATTGTTGTTGACTGGTTGGCACTCAGGAGTGTATTTATTGGAATGAATCAGTCAGTGATTGGTTGGCTCGTAAAGAGTGCCTGCTGAGGTAAGTCGTCCTTATCAACTGCATTTAAATCTGGTTCTCCTAGCAACTTTTTACTGTGGCTACAGTCTTCTTCAATCCTCTAGTAATTTTCTAAGGAAGAGTATGTGGGAGGTAATTTTTTGAGCCTTTTCATATAGAAATGTCTTTTTTTTCTGTCCTCACATTTGGTTACTATAGTTTGGGTGAGTGTAAATTCTAGATTGGAAGTATTTTTCTTCAGAATATTGAGGCATAGTTTTTTTTTTTTCTCCTTGTCCTCTGTTGCTATTTAGAAGTCCCAGGCCAATATGAATCTTCTTTTGTTTGGACCTTCTCACTGGAAACTTGTTGGATATCTGCTTTGTCCCCAGGTATCCAAAATTTCACAGCGATGTGCCTTAGTGTGGGTCTATGTCTGTTATAATGCTGTGCCAAGTATTTGTAGGTACTGGGAGCTGGCGTGTGGAAATGGAGGTGAGGCAGTAGATCTCAGTGTTGAGTGTGCTCACATAACCACCTAGTTTGAAAGGCCTGTCGCTTCAGACCCCAGAGATCTTCTATTTTACATTCTACAGAGATAACCTCAAGTCTCCTCTCACGGATGAGGAGGGAATCTAAGGACCGAACTACTTCTCAAACAGCTTTCATCCATACGCCTTCCCCACTTCACTTCCAATTCCAGAGTTGGTGCCAGCAGGGCAGTTCTTGACCGTTGTGTGGATTTCTGGTGTAAACTGAAATTGAGCCTCAGTTTTCTCTACTGCTAGTTAGGGATTTGGCTCTCCAGGATCTGCTATACAGTTAGCGTTCATTTGTATATGTTCTAATTTCCAAAGTTTTGTTACTTTTTTCCATCCTCGTTGATTTATGCCTTAAAAAAAAACTTTACTATTATTTTAGTAGGATTTTGGCAAGAAGCAAAATTATTTGTATATGTCCATTCTATTCTCTTAACCCACAAGACTGGAATGATTTGATAAGAATAACTGGAATATTTTTATGTGAAATTACAATCTGTGAAAGGCAAAGTAATAGAATATGGTACTCAAATACAGTAACTAAATATAGGTCTGCTAAGAGGGCACTGTTATGGAAAAGGAAGGATATCTTTGAAAAAATACTTGAGACTTTATAAATACTGTTACTCCTTGAAGTTTTTTTCATTAATTTTAGTGTCCATTGGTAATTTCTTCCTGAATCATTTTCATGATGATTCCTAAGTGATGATTTTCCAATTCCATCATTCCTTCTATAATTATTTATAATAATACGTTATTTCCTTATCTTGATGCTGTCCCTGATTTGGTCAGTGGGAGCCCCTTTGAGTTGATTTCTGTCTCCTTTTGGCTTGCCCTTGTCATTCTTTGAGCACTTTTTCACTTTTTATCACAACAAGATGTTCTAGCTCATCTCGTACAGCCCAAACCCTGGAATGAGTTCTTTCTCCAAGAGCTCTGGTTCCTTTTAGTAGAGAATGGCTTTATAAGCCATGATCTGGACTCAACAAGTCCTCATTGCTGCTGCTGGGTGTCATTGCTTCTAGGCCCTCTCAGGAGGCATCTAGAAAATAGATACATGTGACATATGTGTGTTTCCACACACACTCATACACATTTTTGTCTACTGAAAGCAGTGAGTTTAAATTGTTACACTGATTGCAATCCAACACTAGAGGATTTATTCTATTCTTCATTCTCTATTTATAACCCCCTCTTCTAACAGTGAGAAACCTAGTCCTAGTGTTCACATTTTTACTTACTGACTCAATCCTAGAATATTAGAAAATAGTTTAAAAATTGCTAACTTATATCACTATTTAAAAGACATCAAGTAACAGAGTTCAATATTTGTTGATAGTTTTTTCCTTTAGCTTATGGGCATATAGTCTAAATTTCCACTGTCTACTAGGATAGCCAATAACTACATGAATTGAGATGTGTTGTAAGTATAAAATATATACTGAGTTTTGAAAACTTAGTATAAAATAAGGAACGTGAGATATCTCAATATTTTAATAATGTTTTTATGTTGATATGTTGAAATATTTTAGATATATTAGGCAAAATAAAATATATCAAAATTTTTACCTATTTTTATTTTAATGCAGCTACTAGAAAATATTAAATTACATATGTGGCTTTTATTATGTTTCTGTTGGACAGTGCTGATTTAATAACTATGTTCAAAAGTTACTTGAATTATTTTTCTCTCCCCAACATTCTTCCCCGTCCCTGCTGTGTAGTTATGTTAGTCATTTGAAATACAGTTCAATTCTATTCGTATTCTAAGTTTTCCTCTTCATCCTAATTGATCTGATTTATTTTTAGTACGTGAAACATTAACATGGTTCCAAAAGTTAGAATTGTGGTAAAAATATAGACTCAGAGCAGTGTTACCTATTTGTTTTATTTTTTCCTTTCCACCCTGTTTCCACCCACCTCTACAGGTAACCAATCTCATCATTCTCAGAATTACCCTTCCTGTATGGTTTTTCCCCAGGAATGAGAAGATACAGGTATATTTTCTTATTTCCTCTTCTTTCTTAAACAAAAGGTAGCATACTATAGATAGATACTCTTTTGTACTTTGCTTTTTTCACAGTCTATTTTGGAATACATTCCACAGTAATTTATAGAGCTTGCCTCCCTCCCTCCCTCTGTCTTATTTTCCTTCCTATAGTTGCATAGTACCCTATTATGAAGATGTTAACCTATTTCTTATGCTATTTCTAATATTTTGTGTTTACAAACAGTGCTGCAGTGACTAACCTTGTCCATATATATTTTCTATGTTGAAAGTATATGTTTGGGTGAATTCCTAAAATGAGATGGTTAGGTCAAAAGTTTAAAAGCATATATGGTTTTCTTAAATATTGCTAAATCCGTTTGGTGGGGATGGGTTTGTACAAGTTTGAATTTTTACCAGCAGTGTGTGAGGGAGTTAGTTTCTCTACAACCTCACCATCAGAGTATGTTGTTAATACTTTTTAATTTTTGCTGACCTTATAGGTAAGAAATAGTGTCTATATATAGTTTTGATATTCATTTTTCTTAGTAGTGAGGTTGAATATATGTCATTTTAATATCATGCGTGAGTTGTATTAATTTTTCTATCAGGTTTTTTGGTGTTTTCCTCTCAATTTTAATAATTTAAGAGTTTTTAAAAATATATTAGGGATATTAGCTCTTTATAAGTGATGTATGTTACAATTTGCTTGTTCTTTGATGTGTGTGTGTGTGTTTAGGCTTTTATATAGTCCAATTTTTTAGTCTTTTTTTGCATCTGAATTTTGAGTTATGATTAGAAAACCTTTCCCTTTACCCAGGGTAAAGAGGAATTTACACATTTTTTTCTCTAGCACTTGTATGATTTTAGTTGTTATGTTTGGATCCCTGATCAATTTGGATTTTTTTTTTTTTAGTGAAGATTATATGAGCTTAATAACCTTTTTTTCAAATGCTAATTAGTTATCCCAGTATATATTTTTTTAAAAAATACAGTTTGCTCTAGTGTTTTGAGATGCCACCTTTATCATATATTAAGTTTCCATCCAGTTTATTTCTGTACTTTCTGTTCTTTTGCGCCAGTCTGTCTATTCCTGTACCATTATCACAGTTTTAACTATATCAAAGACTACCTTTAAAAATTTTTACTGTTTTATTGGCTATTCTTACATGTTTATTTTTCTTTTGAACTTTAGTATCAGCTGTCAGTCTCCATAAAAAACTGCTGCTTGTACTGAAATATTTATTAAATTAATTTGTTAAATTAATTTAGGGAGAACTGACATCTCGATGATGTTGATTTGTTTTGAGTTTCCTATCCAAGAACAGGGAATATCTTTCCATTTGTTCAAATCTACTTTTGTATCCAGGAATTTTTTGAAGTTTTCTTTTTATTGGCTTTGTACACTTCTTGTTAAATTCTCCATTTTTAAAAAACTTATTAATATGTTTTCCAGATTTTTATATCAATATTTATAGAGCTATATCATTCTTTTTAATGTCTGTATTGTTTTCCATAATATAGATGTACCATAATTTATTTAATCTGGCCCATAAAAATGGACATTAAAGTTGTTTATAATGTTTCACCATTATAAATAAAGTATCCTTGTAGAAATACAGTTATTTCCTTATGATAAATTCTTTGAAAGAGATATATGTAAAAGATTAGAAGTATTTTTAAAATGCTTTTTATATTAATAAAATGTGTATCTCCACCAATGATGCGTGAGCATATTCAGTCTCTGTTTACCAAAAGAGGACCTTATTGCTCTTTTTTTAAATCTTTGCCAGTTTGTTGGGCAAATATATATATTTATTTTGTATTTCTTTGCTAACTGAAGTGATTTATTTTTTCTTTGGTAACTAATGAGGCTTATTTTTTTTATCATCCATCCAGCTATCTATTCAGCATACTCTTATTGAGCATCCACTCTGTGCCATCCTATAGTCATGACTAGAAGTTGAATATCTTTTTGTATTTTTGATCATTTGTATTTTGTTCCTATCTTTTTTCCCGATGGCAGTTAATAAGTGTTTCTTTCCCCAAAAACTAGTTTTAAGAAGACTGAAAATGAGAGGAGATGACATTTCTTTATTCTGTTTTGTTGATGAGCTTCTTTAAAGTATTTTTTATGTGTGTGTTTTCATTGTACAGTCTATGATAAGTCACTACGCAGTAACGAAATGAAATAATGAAAGTTAAGTTCACAGATAGTTGTCAAAGAAATGATAACTACATATTTTTATTAAAATAACTTTTATTATTATTATTTTCCAGATGAGGCTGCTGTGTCTATCAGAAGGGAACTTTTGTACCATTTGCCTTCAGACTGAGTCTATGTGTGTTCTAGTGTTTTAGTATTCAAAATAAATGTCGCTTACTTGGTAAGTCAGTTAACTATATTTTATAGAAATACTGTTCATTTACTCTAAATATTTGTTTGCTTGTATTTTGTTTCTTCACTGTCATTTTATTTTGTAACTCATGTAAGACAAGTTTGAAAGTGGCTATTCCTAAGAGACTGGCTGTTTTGAAAATTTTCTTGATTCTGTTCATTGTCTTTCTAAATTTTAGTGTTGTAAAGCAAAATGGGGCTGGTTAAATATTGGAGTTAGTTCTCAATTACTAGCTTTGCTTTCTTCAGTCTCTTTTCACTGTGAGAACTGAGAATTAACATCCTTCCTGTTAAGTTCTAGCTTCTTTATAGTTCATATAAAGATCAGCAAAGATGCATGTTATTGTGAGGCTTAAAGAATAGATCGTCAATTAAATCCTTAGTAAAACATAATAAAGTAGAATGAATAATACTATCAAAGAACTTGGAAATGAAAAATAGGTGTCAGTGAAACTGATTTCAGTTTTTAAAATATTACTCTATAAGTATTTATTTTCAATTAAAAATTTTTTTCAAGATAACTTAGTTGTTATGACCTGTTTTTTGTAAGAGATTTTTCTAACCCACATCCTCTGATGATCTTTTCAGTCTATTTCAGCTTTTAACTTTTCATATGCATCCAGAGGCAACTGGAAAACTGTTGTGTAGGGTGAAGGTTTAGTGGAAATGAGAGTCAGTCACAGCAGTTGTCAGAAGATAATTGAACTTGTGTGCTGCTGAAGCATGTGGCAAAAAGTTGGATGGAAACTAATGAATTGATACTGGTGATTTGCAGAATTTTCTTCTAAATGGTTTTGCAGAGCAAGTAAGAAGTAATTGTTGATGTTGAGAGCTGAGCTTAAAATATTCTCAAATAGAATCGAAGGATGAGGAGCTATAGTACAGAAAAAAGGTGAAAGAAGCTTCCCTTTTGATATGTTTTTTGGTAGTCTCTGCTTTTGTTAGTAGCATCAGAAAGCGGACTTCATATGTCCTGAATGTTGAGTAGAAGCATGGTATTTCATTGTGCATGACTCTGAAATGACCCAGATCTTAGAGCAAACTAAAGTGAGTTTTAATCTTGGTTATTTAAAATCTCCTTGTACCTGTCTTATTAGGAGTATTATTTTTTTAAGAGGAAACTAATTTGCAACTGGCTATTAAGAGTGACATTGTGTCTTGGAAAATGCTGTACTAACGCACTGTACTGTCCCACAAGAGTACTTCTCAAGTCCCCAAACACAGTGCTGACAATCTGTGACAGCCTGTGAATTGTTGGGCAGCAGTTGGGGGAAGATGGACGCAGAGTGAGCTGGTTGTTTGTAAGTTATAGAGGAGATGGGGGGAAGGGGAGAAATGAGAAGAGCAGAACAGCTCAGGTTCTGTGGGTAATTTGAATGGAAGCTGTTCATCTTAGTTCCAGTGTGTGTGTGTTTTGGTGGGGTAGAAATAGTGTTTCATTTTTCCTTTCAAGATGTTATTGTTTCATTTTGTCATCATAACTGTAAGATTAGGTGTTCTTTTGATGAGAATATGGATTGGGTAGATTTAAAAAATTTTTTTCTTATCCTCCCAATTAGGTAGAGACAACTTAAAGGGGAGGCTACATTATTCATGTTCAAACCATGTTATTACTTGTAGTCCTACTTTATAATGTCCACTGCCCCTAACATATCGCAGTACAGTAGGTACACTTAATATTGTTTGACTGCCAGAAATGCCGTTACCTATTGTTGTTAGCTTTTACCAGTCTTTAACATTTATCTTTATTTTTGTATCATAAGAATGATGGATTAAAATGCTGTTTAAGTACCCAAGCCATGTTTGTTCTGTTGATTATTATTCTTTGAAAGCCATCTGTAGTACTCTGTACAGATGTTCTGATCCTTAAAAGGAACATTGCTCTGAAGATATTGTATTGTAAGGTAATTATTCGTTATTCTTGAAACTCTAATAAGTAAACTTTTAATCTACATATAAGAGAAGCTCTTATTTATTATCTAATATTTTCTTTGCCTGCTTTAAAGTGAAACTTGCTTTAAAGTCTTTTGGTTTCTCAGTTTCTTACCAGCCACATTTGGCCTTCACACTTGGCTAGCATAGCTGCAAGGAGGAAGGAGATAGATATAGAGTTGAAACTATATCTCTAACATATAGAACTCCACCTTCTTTATAGTTATTCTCTTTTTTTGCTATTGCACTTTTGTGTTCTTTGTTTTTAACCTATTTTCTGTTGTGCTTTGTTTTACTCCATTTTTTAAAAGGCACGTGTCCTAGTCTACTATAGTGGTTAACTATAGGGATTTTGAAATCCTAACAAACACTAAAGCTGTAACTTAAGTTTCAGATCTCTTATCTGTAAAATTGAGATAATAATATCTTCCTCTTAGTATTTAGTTGGGATCAAATGAGTTTATGTATGTCAAGTTTGAGTCACAGCCCCCAAAGCCTTATCTATTTCAACTCTTTTATTGTCACTGTAGGATATCAGTGTAACCCAAGGTAGATCCAGGAGAGGAACTAATTTCAAATAAGTCTAGAAACACAAAGCAACCTCTAGATGTATAGTGAAGGAAAGAAGTTTTGGGGAGTTTTTTCTTCTCTTCCTGCCCCTCCCCCCAGGTATATATACAGAATAGGAAGTAGACTTTTCTACTTTTCTATTACATATTATATATTGCCATTGTTCAGTTATATTAAAGCTTTGATTTGATTGCCTTTTGAGATGGTCTGCTGTAGGTGCAGACATTAAACTTGGTGAACCATGGGGTTACCATGTCAATGGAGTGTGAAAGAGACTGAGCTTTGGAGTGTTTCCCAGCCTATAAAGCATGAAATCAGTTGGTGCTGATGCATGACGACCATGGCCAGTGAAGTATAAAATAAGTTGGGGACATGAATTGTGTTATGTTAGAAAAACCTTTTCATGCCATGGTTTATGTGTTTTGGGGTTCCCAAGATCCTACTGGAATCATGTATCTTGTCTTTCATTGTTTTGATTCTCAGATTTTTCATGAACTATTTCTTCTAGTTACATAAGCTATATTCTTTCTCCAGCTGCATGCAGAGGCAAAGGCTATAATGTCCAAGGCAGACTATATTAAAATACTATATTATATTTTGCTTAAGATTACGTCTGAAAAAACTATCTGCAGTAGGTATTTGATGCACAAGTTTTTTTCTGTTTTTATATTCAGATTTGAAAGTGCACTCTATATTCTGCTTTGAAGCTTCCTCCAGTCTAAGCACTGTTACTAATTTCACTGGTCATTGTTCCCATGTTCACATGCGCCTCTGGATAAAAGGAAGTATGTAGAGAAGGATAATGTTTTCAGATGGTTGGGGGAGTTAGTAGGAAGAAGTATAGAGATTATTCTTGTGGGGAATAAGGAGAGAGGGAGTTCCTTTCCTGACACCTGGTGAGTTTCTTCACCATATGGCTTTGAGGGTGAGGCAAGGTGAATGAGGAAGTTTCAGAGACAATAGTGAATTGTTATTGTCAGCACTTTTAATTCTAGAAGGTTACTGAGAATAAGCATACCATGAAAGCATTAAACTTCTTTCATTCTTATCCTAGTTGGTTTTCTTGTTTTACTGCAGCAGTCTTTGAACTCTCTTTGATTGCTTTGCGTTTATGCAGATTCTAAGCAAATTGTGAATATTTATGAAATTACTATATTATTGTGAGAGATCATCCTATCAGGCAGTCTTGTGTAGTAGTTAAGTGGAGGGACTTTGAAATCCTAACCAATACTTAGAAGCTGTGTGATCTTAAGTTACTTAAGCTTTAGATTTCTCATTGGTAAAATTTAGATAATAATAATGACCTCCTAGTTGTATAAAGGAATTAAATGAGATAATATATGTTAAACATTTAGCCCAGTCCCTGTCACATCGTAAGCAGCTATTAAATGGTAGCTTGTTATTTTTTTCTCTTTCTCTCCATCTGTTATTGCTATTGGTACTACTCTACCACTAATTCACTTTTGCTTGTATGGCCTAAACTTTAATGAAACAGAAAACATAATTAGACATGGTTCACAGCAGCAGATTTTGAAAAATATGTCATTGTTCTTTTAGGCATTGCTAAATAGATCTTTCTTAATCAAATTGAAACTATAAAAAGACTTTTTTTTTTTAATGAAAGGAAAGCATCTTTGTGTTGGCTTAAGATAGCCTTGCAAATGAGTAGAAAAACTCATTATTCTAAAATGTATTTGGCTAATGCAAATAAAACACCCTTTCTATGAACTTATTGAGTATATAGAAATAAGAGTTCAGAGAATTGCCATTCCTTATTATTCACCTAAAACCAGCAAATTTGGGGGGGGAAGTACTTCTTTTGGAATTCTTAGGAGAAATGTTTTAAGAATAATTGTAGAGTTTTTGTCCAGTGTATGAGGCACATTTTTGTGGGAATGGGATGGAAATGTCATCTTGATCACTTATACTAATGGAAATGAGCATTAGTGTGGACAGTATATTTAATTTTGAAGTGCATTAATGATTATTTTTGCAGCACAATTAACTTCCTGATTAAACTTTGCTCAGCTAGTATATCCTGGGCAAATAGTGGGTAGAAAACTGGTTAAAGCAGCTATGACGATGATAAAACTACTCATTTAGTTGATAAAAGATCAAGGTTCTGGTTTCAGTTCCCACTGAAATAGCTGTAAATCTTAGATAAATTCCTCCACTAAAGTGAGGAGGTTATATGACACGATTTTCAGAGGTCTTTTTCAGCTATAAGGTCATAAGATCAGATCAGTATGGATGTAGTTTGGCGATCAGGAAATGCAGCAATGATACGTTTTGGCCAGCAGAGGGTGAAGTCCCATCAGTCAACTTGTGTTCTGCATTTGACCAGAATGTGGCATCCTTGAAAATGAAGAGGACACATTGCACTTCTATCCATTTAATTTATCGAGTCTCTTGCTTTTCTGATTCTGCTTATATTAAATATCTTTCTGCTTTTTTCTTTTCAACCATCTAGATAGGATGAGGACAAAT